GCTTGATGGCTATGTGAGACCGAGTCAATACTTCAGTTGTGCAGGAATTAGATCGATGCTATGTGATTATCGAGTGCCCCTTCATGGTATATATGAATGCTATGTGAGACTAGGAGATCATTCAACAGCTTAGTGAGAATTTTATCGATGCTATGTGATTACCGAGTTCCCTCAGTTATCTAGTATCTAATGGCTATGTTAGACCAAATACTAGTAGTGTGTCATGTGTTGCATTTAGAGAATGCACAATAGTTACAGATATTGTGTTAGAGATCCAATAGAGGTGTACTCATGACGAGGCCCTTAGTAGAGGATTAAGGGAAGTATGAGACTCCAACTTTAGCGATATAACAGTTGAACCTTAAGTATGTAGCACTTGATTATAATCATGCTTGTACCTACTGCTTATTACCATGTCTTTTAGCATGCTTATGTTTATGAGACCCATAATACTTCTCTAGATTAGCTATTGTACTGCTAGGCTTTGTAAGCTTAGCGTTCAGATGTTTCCGTTTGCAGGTTAGTAGTTGAGTCGTTCAAGAAGCACCATCGCAACAGGATTTCCAACATCCCTTATGTTGGCATGTATAGTATTAATTTTAGTAGCCATATATACTCATAGGACCCTTATGTACTTGGATTTGCCAACCTTTAGTTATATTATTTGATTTAAATTATGTGCCACGGAGCTCTGGTTTGTAAAAGTATTTTATAACAGTTATAAATGTCTATATTGGAAATTATGTCATGTTTTAAATGAAAATGAAAAAGTTTTTAAATTTAGTGGTTGTTTCGACAACCCAATGTAGCACTTTAAGTCCGTTCGGATTTAGTTGTCGTACTTTTCGAATTTTAAAATTTTAATTTTCACTTAAATGATTTTGCCTTCGTACCACTAAAAATGTTCATTATTAAAATTTTAAGAGTCAATATTTTTAAACTTTAATCATAATTATTTTAAATATTTAAAAAATAAATTTTATAAAATATATATTTCAAAACTACTTGATTGAAGGTTTTTAAAATATATATTTTCATATTTTTATCAATAATAAATTTTAAATAATAATAAGTAAAAAATAAGTTTAATTTTTTAATTAATAAAATCTAGTTGTATTAATCTCATTATAAGTGAAAAATAAATAAAATAATTTTTCATTTTAAAATGCAAAAGCCCCAGTGATTGCAGGGTGCGCATCCTAGTTTGAGAGCCATATAAATTCCCGCCAATCAGAAGCACCCAAACATTATCTAGTAGGCCAAGCATCTCTAATTTATCTAACCCATAAGGCTCGTTTAAAATATATATATATATATATATATATATATATATGAAAGCGTACACTTTAATGGTACATTTATAATTACAATTAAAAAATTATAATTATTATTAAAATATTTTTTAATATATTTTAATTTGTGAGTCTAACATGTGAACCAAATATTTAATACATAATGCAAAAATAAAATTATAACAGTTATTAAATAATTTTGTCTAAAAATTATTTTTTTCTAAAAATAATACAAAAAATTAAATAACATGACAGAACTATAACGTATAAAGCTATTTAAAAACAAAAATAAAATAAATATACCACAATTAAATGAGTATAAAAATATATAAATAATTTATTAAATAATTTAAAATCATATGAAAATTAAAATGTTAAATTCATTACACTTATTTAATCATATATAATTAAAACATTTAGTGTTGATTGTCGACTGTCATCATTTCTTGTTTTTCACTTATTTTCTTATATTACATTTTTGCTTCCCTATTGATTTTTAGTTTTTAATAATTATATCTTTATGATATGTTTTTCTCTACATATATAACACGTTTTTCTTGTTTTTTGTCATGTTTTCGGTCATTTAACCGCTCTTTTCATTTTTATCTTTTTTCTTAGCGATAGATTTGACGATTCCTTGACTAAGAGATTGCGCTTATTTCTTATTCTGATGATCTTCTCTGCTTTGGACCCTTAATTGGATTGAAATACACAGTTGAGTTCGTCGATAGTTTTCTCACATTGCTCGACTTTGATATGTGGTTTGCCAATGGTCTTTCAGTAGTTTTCATCTCATTTTATGGTTTGTTTGTCGATGCAGTCATATCTATTCGTATCTATCTTTGTTTGAGTATTTTGATTAGTTTTTTAACATTTTCCTTATATGGTCCTTGTATGATATCAAGTGACTATTTTCTTTTGTTAATGGTTGAAAAATATCTTAATTATGTGCTTGGTTTGTGATTATGGTTATAAACATTTATTATAATTTTAAGTATTTTTCTTTTAAAAACTAGCGCCTTTTATTGAAAAAGCATCCTAAAATTCTAAATAAATTAATGAGTTGCTCGTAAATTTATCGAATTGAGTTGGACATTGCTTGACTCAACTCGTTAAGGTCTCTAATGGAGTTCAAACTCGAGTCAAACCAAACTTTTACTGTGTTTTAACCAAGTCAAGCTCGAACTAGGGACGAAGCTAGAATTAAATATTTGCAAGGGTCGAAATATTAGACTATTTAAGAAAAATATAAAGACTTGTTAGGTATTTAAACTCGAAATTCAGCATGAACCAAACGATTTTAGTGATTAAGTGATTGTTGTTATCCTTTAGGTCTCGAGTTCAAGCACGTATATAGGGGTATGAGCGTTCATTGTCAAATAGTTAAAAGTCTTTGTCCATATATTATATTGTATTCACTCTAAATTAAAAAAAAAACTCAAAACTCAAAAGACAAATTCTAATTTGTCTACTTTTTAAACTTACAATAATTTAAATTGTAACTATACCAAAAATTGAAAACACATACTTATCATTGTTTAGTTCGACCCCTACTTGATTCAATATTTAATAATTTTTTATATTTTTTAAATTTAAATATTTATTTTTACACGAACAAAAATATCATTAAACTAAAATTATATCGAATATATAAATTTTAATATAGGTAGAGGCCTCCTTGAGTCTTAAGAAACTCCGTCCCTAGCTCGAACTATATGCGAGGCAGTCAACTCGATTGTATCCCTAATTATTATGATTATCTAAAAATATTTTTAAAAATTTATTTCAAATTATATTATTAAAACGTTGTATATATTAAAATTAGTTAAAATACATGCTTTTATATGGTTATAAAGGATGGCGCTTTGTGGATATAGGATTTTTCTCGAAATCAGCACTTGAATTCTACTTGAAAGCCAAGTGTGTGTAGTTTGGAAAAATAAACCTGGGATGGCCTACCACTGTCTTCAACATAAAAACTTCATTTTGGCCCACCCACGTGTCCAATTTATTTTTGTCTTCCACCTTTTTACAAAGATGCGAAAACCAAAGCAAAATCATATTGTTTCGTCTTCTATATAATATGCCACAAAAGTTAAATTAGAAAATAAATTTAGGGTTATATTTTATTTTAATTTAGTAATTTGAATCCTTTTCTTGCCTGTAGCAATGATGGGTCGTGATACTTTTAGTATAAATTTTATGCAGTTAATATAAATATAACTTTAAAACTTAAAGCCTATTTTTGAAAACTGTCATATTCTTCTTGTTAAGAAAGAGAAAACAGGCATATTCGTCGTATATTCTTAAAATTAACCCAAACTCAAGGGTTTTTTAAACACGCTTATTAATTTAATTTATTTTTATTAACTTTGTTTTTTAGTATTTAAAATTTTAATAAAATTATTGATTAACACGTTTAACAATTGACATATATTTTACATATTATATTTATATATCTTTTATAAGGTTAAAGATTTAAAATTTTAAAATTGATATAACTAAAAGTTATCTTATTGATAGAATAAATTTACCTCGACGGTTCATTATTTTTGTATTAAATAGAAAGTCATAATTAGTGAGAGGATAATTGTTCGACTGTATTTTTACAGAGATGAGAATTGATGATGAGGAAAAAGAAGAATATTATATCAACAAGGTTATGAAGGTTTTTTTTCTCTCGATCGTGTTAATGAGTATTTGTAGTTATCATAGTATGATGATATCAGTAATATAATAATAATGGCTATCTATAAATTGACAATAGTTAAATCTTAAATTTTGTTCCAGTATGTTACGATAACTTGTTAGAGATCTTGTATATATATTGTGTTTGACGAAGTGGTCCATGTTTGAAAGATGTGCGTTACTCGATAGTTTCGGTAAATCGATAAGTCTATCTAAAGACCTTAGTCGATGGAGTGTTGAGAGTTTTCGTAGATTATATCTAGCAAAAGCTTCAAGTTTTCAAAGTTCATCTCCCAAAGTATAATAAATTGTCCCTAGAAAACGTCATAAATGACTTGGTCCAATATCTATTAAAGAAAGATAATAGTGGTCTGCTGATTAGTTTAATATTAGCGGCGTCTTAATCCTGTCGTCTTCGGGATATGGATCACTCAATTTTTTTAAAAGGTATAAAAAATAGATTACATCAATCGTTAGTAATTTATCTTTTTTAATTTATACTAAAATTGTGATTAGCAAACGAGTTGTTAAAAGAGTCGCAATAAGTGAGTACGTGTAAATACGAAGAGATGCCAGCGAGGTGGTCTATCAATCAATTCTGAAAACAAGGAAATGATATGATAGCCACTTCGATTCGTAAAGATATACTTTTCCCCACTCCCCCGTTCTTTTTCTTTTGTGGTGCAAATGCTTTGAAGAACTTTGTTTGAAAGTGCTTTACAATAAACAAATAAATAAAGCTGCAAGTCTGAGTATTCAATTGATACAAGTTACGGTGAAATTATTTGACTTGGTTGATTTTTCTTTTATTATTTTGATTTAAGTGTTAAATTTGTTATATTTATATTTGAGGGTGCCTCGTATATATTAACCTGTCTATTATTTTTTATTTTTTTTGAATGGTTCACAATTAATGCAGAATATACATTTTTTTTCCTTATTCCGTGCTCCAGTTACATTTCCAAAACTCAAGTCACTATCAAGTACGAACTATAAGTAGACTACTGCGTAGTGTACTTGGACAAGTCAGAGACATTTCCATTGCTATTTATTAGAGTTCAACAATTGAAAGGGCAATTAAGCTGGGATGGCTTTGGTAACAAGAGAGGAATTGCTGGCAACTTTGGTGCCGTATGCGGTTTACTGGATATATTCAGGGATTTATGTGGTGTTCGAGTCGAAGTTGGACAAGTACAAATTGCATTCCAAGAAAGAAGAGGAGGAGAAGAATCTGGTGTCTAGGAAAGCAGTCTTCAAAGCTGTTGTTATCCATCAAATCATGTCAATTGTTATGAATCTCTTCATATTCGCGGTATGAGTAGTAATTAGTTTTTGTTTTGAGATTTTAAGTTTCAGAGATTACAAGATATTAGAGCACCACCGTTTTCGATTTGTATGACTTTACTTGTTTTTGTTGCAGGCAATAAGAGAAAAGGATGGAGAGGCATCTCCAAGGAAACCTTTAACCATGCTTGCTTTAGTTAAGCAAGTGATTATAGCGATGCTGGTTATCGATACATGGGCGTTTTTTGTGCACTGGTACTTGCATCAGAACAAATTCTTATACCGACACATTCATATACCACATCACCGGCTGGTTGTTCCTTATTCATTTGGAGGACATTATATGCATCCGATAGAGGGGATCTTGGACACCATGGGTGGGACATTAGCCGTACTCCTCTCTGGCATGTCTCCTCGAACTAGCACGTTTTTCGTTTCGTTTACCCTCATTAAAGTAGTGGATGATCATTGCGGGATGAAACTTCCTGGAAATCCCTTTAACCTGTTGAGCAACAATTCTGCATACCATGATGTCCACCATCAGCTTTATGGTACCAAATACAACTTCTCTGTCTACTTTGACATATGGGATAAAATTCTTGGAACCTATATGCCTTATACACTTGAGAAGACTCCTGAAGGAAGACTTGAAGTAAGACGTGCTGATATAGAGCACAAGCATGATTGATTGACTAATTAATTAGTCAATTATGATGACTATTGAGCATGGATTGACGATTAGTCCATCCGTTTTTATATGTACATGTATAATTATATACTATGTTTCACTGAAAATAAAGCCGATTCCAGTGTGAAACTAAATATTATTAATAAAACTTGAAGCTTATATGCTTCAACTGGTTTTATCAGTTAGATTTTGGCAAGGTTTTGATTTTCAATCCTAAAAATTCGCATAAGTGAACAATAAAGGAATTCTGTGGTAACCTAGGCCAAGTGAAGTTCGTTCATACCTACAATATAATAGTGACTGACACCGGTGGCGAAAGTAGCAGCTGAGGAAGTTCCACCCTCCGCCTTCGAGCGGCCAAAAGCTTTACCTTGATGATCACAGGGCTCTACAGCCCCTGTAACCTGACACTTTTCAATTCCCTTACCTACCTGAGGAACAAAAATCATCTAAACTCATACAAACACTAGTCTAAGGAAGGCACAAGTAGATACTTTCATTTCACTAATCTAATCACTTTTTTGCTTTTTTGGTACCATATTTTAGCCCTGCCAGGGAAGGTTGAAACAAAGAAATTGTGCCACTAAATGAACTAAGCAGGTCGCCACGCACAATATTCCTCTCAGGAAATGCATAAGCACATAGCCAAGGGGTTGCAAATCATCCCTTCGGCTTTGCTCTACCAATAAAGACGAGAATCTATGTTAATATCAAGTATGCTTGCATCTACGAGATATTTATTGTTGCTAGATTGTCACAAAGTTCTAAATGATAGGTTTTAGGACTTATTATTGAACTGGGAAAACCCACATAAGAAAAATTGAGAATGGGATACAGATATCTAGTCAAAAGAAGTATCCACATATTAGTATTACTTGTCTAAACTATTTCTACTATAGCCCATTATTGACATTACAATCTTTAAAAGTTTATCCTTTCCGACTTCTTAAATTTGGTTATTACATAACCAAATGTAAAACAAAGTACTGTTGAAGTATTCAGTGTTTATCTGAGTCATGAAATGTATTGGTCTGATTGACTGTAAATATCAGGTTGTATTCAGCGTTTCTGTGCGATTTATGAAAAGTATTCAGTGTTTATCTGTATGGTCCTTATTTCTTTGAATAGATTCATAAAAGGTCTTTTTGTATGTTATTGTTCTTTTTTCATGTGTATTCAGGAATGCTTACAACATGGTTTTGCACAAATTTGGTGAGAAGCTGTACTCTGGGGCCTGGGCTGGTTACAACTATGACTGCTCATCTCAGAGAAATATCAAAATCTATAGAGGCTGCTCGGGGTGGTTTGTTTCTTGAAGAGCTGAACAGGAAATGGAATGACCTCAACAAGGCATTGTAAATGATTCGAGACATACTGATGCACATGGACAGGACGTACGTTCCTCTGTTCACGAGCTGGGACTTAACCAGTTAAATCTTAGGTCATTTTTTAGAGTTTTTCTTGGATTCTTTATGTCATGAACCTAAGATTTAACTGGTTGTATTCTGTTTTCCCCCTCTTTTATATTCCTTTCAGCTTGGTGAGACCGTTTGTCCAATGGAGAATTTCATCATGGTTCACTTGCAGCATTGTCATTGCTGTATTCTACTGGTTTCTGAAAATCGCTGGGTCTGCAACGAGTACAAAAACTTTCATATTTGTGATAATTACGATTGCTACTCTATTCAGCCGTGGATTTTAATAGGTCATTCGATCATTCAATTATTCGGTCATTCGATCATTAGGTTATTACGTCATTCGATCATTAGGTCTGTTTGAATTTTTTTCTTTTATTGATAAGCTTTGTATTCAATTTATCCAAGAGAGAGCAGAAACCTGCTACATATATCCAATAACTCACAAGAGAATCGCAAACAGGACACTAAAGAATACCCCATTCCTCTCGCAATGATCCTTATTTACAGAATCCATTTTGTCAATGGCCTTACCCCTAAGTTTTATTCTAACAATCTCACAAATAGAATTCAAGATCTCCCTTTTATCCCTCCAAACACCCCTGAATAATCTAAAATCTCTCTCCTCCCAAACACAATATATATGAATTTTCCAAGCTATTTTAAGGTTAAAAGTAATTAGAGACTTACCATTTAGATAGCAAACAACCCATCTTCTCTTCCCAGTACAACACCCTTCTGTAAAGCTTACACCGAGCAAAAATCCCACTTCATATATCCCTTGAAAACAAGCAATCAAAGAACAGGTGCCCTGCTTTCTAATTCACTACCACAAATTTCACAAAGCCTCTTTACCTCTATTCCCATGCGCAAGAGCATGTCTCTTGTAGGAAATTTGTCAAAAATAGTCATCCAGCAAATAACAACATGCTTAGGCGCATGAAAGGAAAACCAGCTAAGCTTGTTATGTCAAGAGGCCTTCACGCCCTCACATCGGATAAAGGACCATATCCTATTCACCTTGATTAATTTTAAATATGTTGCAGCAACTAAGGGAAGGACTTCATCCCTCAGTTTCAGCAACTTTTTAAGAATCCAGCTAGTGTTTACATTGCTCATAATCAGCCAAAAATTAACTACTTTGAATACATAGCATTCAGCCAGGTCACCCAAAGCGAGCCTTCCCCAGCCAAAATGTTTCAAATAAGCTGAACCATACACACCTTATTCCAATTTTGCATATCTCTGAATCCTAAACCCCCTTCCGATTTCAAAAATGCAAACCTGCTTTCAGCTAACCCTAGCACCAACAGTGTCACAGCTCTTGTAGAAAAATCTCATACAAAGCTGCTTAATTTTCCCGATGATGGCTTGGGTAAAACTAATTGTCTACATCAATAACTAGATAATTTAATTTGATTTCATGTTTTGTATACGGAGTTCGTTTATTTCAAATCAAATTTATTTGAAAAAGAAAAAAATAATAATCCAAATCAAATTTATTTTGATTTTTTAATGAGATAAATTTAAAAAAATAAAATCTTAAATCTAGTAATATTATTTTTTTTTTAATTTAAATTAGTGTGTTTACACTCAGTTTAAGTTTGAAGTTTGCTTTCTTTGAACGTTGGGTTTGAAAAATAGTGAACATTTAAAAATTGTAAAATCGCATCAAATCAAACTAATAAAAAAATCAGTTTTTATATCATTCAATTTCAGTTTTGTTTTTTTAGAACTATAAAAGATGATTCGACATATATTTTATCAAAAAATCATACCGAACCGAATACACCCTTGATGTTTGGGTGTGTTTTACCCTTAAAAAATAATTTGTAATTTATATCTAAATGTTATTACATTCGTACCATATTGATTAACTATAATTTTTAGATAATTAATTAATAACATTTTTACATTTTTTTATAATCAGAAATGATTATAATATATTATTTATTTAATATTTTAGTTTAAATAATATATACATAATATACAAACACAACTGATCAAACTCAAATTTTTTAAAATAAAATAATTTTTAACCATTAATACCATCCTATACATTCTAATTTTGAAACCTTACAATGATATTAAAGGAGATGATAAAATAAGCTATCATTCCAAATTTGCATGCCTCGTGAATTGCCATTATTACTCATAAACTCTAAAACGGTGCAATTGTAATTCCCAACGGCTAAAACACCATTGAAACTTGAAGTCAATAGGTCACATCCCCGAACCAGCGGTGGTCCTCATGTGAAAACTCACGAACCATCATCTAAATTCCAATATTCATATCATATAAATTTTAATATATTCATACTTTTGTTCGTATTTGTATTATTTTCTCGTATCTTCCACCGTACATGCATATATGTTTCACTTCACTTAACCTTTTCCTTCTTCCTGTGTGATTCTACGACGAGAATCGATGGAAGCTTTATGGAGTTTGGAGGAGAAATGGAAACTCACAACACAAGAAGCTGTGATTGTCGTCGTTTGTGCTGCTTCCGCCATCGTCGGGCTTTGCGCTGCCGCGTTTCTCAGAAAGAAGGCTCGGAAGAAGCCGGTGTCGGACCGAGACACGGTGTCGGATTGTCCGACGAATGCGAAATGGTGTGAGCCGAGTTGTGGTTGGGTTTCGAAGAGAATTTTGATGGGATCGGTGATGTGGAGTGGGGCTAAACGGTGGCGGGAGAGGAGCTTCAGGTGGGAGGAGAGGCAGCCGCCGTTGCTTGGATTGGAAGAGTACGAAGGTGGTGTGGGGTTGCGGAGCCATAACTCGGAGTCGCCGGTGTGGCAACGGCCGATACTTATGGGGGAGAAATGCGAGCTGCCGCGGTTTAGCGGATTGATTTTGTACGATGAAAGAGGACAGTTGCTTGATGATTCCATCGAGAGAAGTTCCGACCAGGGAGACGATCACCAGGTGATTTCATTATTCTCCCTTAGTTGAAATCAAATAACTCTTTAGAATAATATAGGTATTCGATGATGATTGATCGATTAATATAAATTAAATAATATAAAAAATAATTTTTATTTGAATTCATTTTAGTTCAAATAACTCTTACGTAAAATCGAGTTTTTTAATTAATTAAAATCGAAAAATCTTAATTCAAACTCCATCGTACTATTTGATTTTGAATTTAAATATTGTTGGGATCAAACTTTTTTACCCAATTTATATTAAATTTGATCTAGCTCGAAGTTTTTATATTTCGAGTTTGATTCGATTACAACCAATTGTATGCTAACCCAACCTTGGTTATGTTCTTGCAGGGGAAATCCATTGCAGTGGTGAGAACAACACTAAGGGACCTTCTCTAATTTTTCTACTCAACTAGTCGTGACAAAGAAAAGTTTTTCCAGGGATGTAATTGAAGTTTTTTCTTTATCAGTTTTGTACAAATTATTCTATCAGGCCTCGAATATCGAAACAAAAATAAATCAAAACACAATTTCGATTACAAAAATCTTTGAAGAGTCGTATCCTTTTTTAGTTCGGACTTTACTTTGATCCTGAAAAGATTAGTACTGGCCTCAACATTTAATTTAATTTCGGGAAACCTTATGAATTCAACTTTCTGTTAGTCTAGAACTTATTGTATCATGTGCTACATATACTGAAAAATAATTAAATATAAATAATATTATTATATAAAATATTAATCTGAAACATAAACTCATCTAAAATATTGTATAATTTTTATAGACTTCAAGAGACCTTTAGAGGACGAGGGTTTCAGCTTTTCAGGGACTTCGTGATTCACTTGAGAGAAAATTGACTTACGTCGAAAATCTTTCGTAAGAGCATACGCGTAGAAGATCATAATTAAGTTTCAAAAGAATTTGTGTGGAGGATGTGACAACGGGTGTTAACTCCGAAGGAGATGTTATAAAATATTTTAAACCTTAAGAGAGGAACCGGAAAGGTGTCAAATGAAAACATAAGAAACTAACAGACAGGAAAATGAAGTGAACCACCAGAAACCAAGATTCTATTGAGGACCAATTTAGATCTAATCGATTTAGACATTTTGTATCGCCCATGTTGTATGGGCCCCTGATCTCGATTGGAATGATTTGCACCGAGTTCGTAGTTAGGAACTAAGTCAGGATTCTAACTCAAAGAGGTAAAATTCATTTAATTTGACGATCAAATTTTTCATTTATTATTTAATCATCTTTCGCATATTATATATCATTCTAAAGGCATCCAAAGTAGAATATTAAATCATAATTTCATTATTCAAACTTTTAATTTTTACCGGAAAATAATATCTAACGGTCCAAAAAATCTATTATTTTCCCCCTTCATTTTTCTTGGGGTATTAATGTCCAAAACATTTCCGAGCATTCGTATTTCAACACATATCCGATCATCGACACCATCTAGTATTGAAAAATTTTCTAAAATTCTTTCGTAAACGACATCGGTTGGGAATTTATACAATGAAAGAACATCCATCTAGTAATGCATAATCGAGTTGATCTCAAAACCGAAATCACTTTCTGCATCACTCTTGCATACATATCCTAGACCTAGTTCGTTCTAACCCGGACTGCCGGCAAACAGATTTGTTCGGACAAAGAATCGGAACACGCTCCGAACAATACGGCAAACTATACCATACATCAAGATTCCGGTCACAACATCAAAAAACTTTCCGAAAAAAAAAGAAGCAAGAGTCACGCATGTGACACCATGAGTGGTTCTCTGCATTCTTCGATACACTTTGTTTTATAATGGAAGTACAACGCGAGTTGTAGAATCCCCAAAACAGTTCCGATTCCATTCGGAACCTGAAAAACAAAGAGGCGATGTTACTGCACAAAACCAACAACTTTTAAATCGAAAATAAGAAGTCGTCATCGTCGATCGAGGAGGCTTACGTATATAAAGGCATCGAAGTTAAAGACGCCGTATAGGAAGAACGAAGTGCTCATCAAGAACGTCGAGAGCGAGAGATAGAACGGCATGAATTCGACACTCTTCGTTCGAATTACTAAATTCTGGGAACAAAGATCATGTCATTAGAAGCTTAAGAAATTTCGAAAACAATCGAAATTCGAATGTATGAAAAGTGCGTTTGATCGAACAACTCACGATTATGAACAATGGGGAAGCAAACATTGATATGAGAGAAGCACAACTTAATAAGCCGATGAAGACCCATCTTGTTCCTCGGTCAGCGATTTGTAAGCTCCCAGCAACTATGATCGCCATAAGGCCAAAAACTGCAAGTAGCAACCCCAGCATCCTAATCTGCCATCGACACAATTTAAGTACATATAAAAAAGGGGTCAAAATTATAATTAATTATACCAAAAAGGATGATATTGAAATACATATGAAAGCTAAGGGACTAAAACTATAATTTGTCCAAAGTCAGAAAACAACATCGTTTTAGTGGACTTTAAATAATCTTTAAATTTTTTTATCTTTATTTTTAGCATAATGTTAAAAAATGTCTCTAATGTTTGATTAAATAATTATTTTTTAGAACATTTTAACCTCCTACACTTCATTTTAGGACAAAAAGGCCCTAACGTTAGATTAAATAATCGCTTTAACCCTCATTCTTTTTTCTAGAGCATAAGGTTTCATTTCAGAAAAAAAATGCCACTATTTTAGAGTGTTAATTATTTGTTAACTAATAGTTTCTATTAACCTAAAAATCTTTTTGTCACAAAATGAAACGTTAAAGGTCAAAATATTAAAAAAAATCAAAATAACTATTTAATCAAATATTATGCAATTTTTATCATTTTTTTCTTACTCCCCATATCCGACACTTAATCTTAAGTCTAGGTAACAATACAAATATAGTGCTCTAAAGAAAGAAATAAACGGCAACAACAAATACATACAAGTTCAAATTAGATGATAACCTTTTTCTCTCTATCGGCGTGTACGATGAAGACGACAATGTAGGTTATTTGAAAAACCGAACCGATGGAGTTAACCGTCATAACCGGCACATTGTCATAAGATACCGACGGCGTTCCATACCAGGTGCAGATCAAGCAGTTCAAGAGTGCATATACATAAGGCAACCCAGAAAAGCTCTCGGTGGACTGGTTTCTGATAATTCTTTAAACGTGGGTCTGAAAAGTTTAAGGAAAAAGCAATAACATGAACTAATTAGAGGATAATTCTCACAACTTGGATTACAAGTACTTGGCAAGTAGAACATACATGGGCGATACAAACAGCCCGAAAGCAAAGATGTTCCCTGTAATAAACAAGGACCGATATCAGATTGAAGAATCAAAGGAATACCAGATGAATACTTGGCCTAATGGGTCACTTTCAACTAGGAGTATAAATAAACTAAGCGTTCGATGAACTATTCATATAATATTTGTCTATGTTCATGTATTATGTTACATAATTAAGAATGAACAAAACTTTTATGTTTATTTAATAAGCGAAAGAACAATGATAGAGGCATATTCGATTCGTTTATATTAATGAATAAATTGGTTTATTAACTCGTTTATAAATTCATTTATCGGCTTGTTTACCTAGTTAGCCTTTAACTGTTAATTTTTTATATATTTTAAATATTTATGAATGTGAAGATTAAATTGAATACAAGGTGAATTTTAGAGTTCAAACTGCAAAACTTTGAGCTTAAGGACTAGTACCATAATTTTACCATTTTTCTTTGATTTTTTAAAATAAAGTGTTGATTGCCTAGAGACTAGAATCATATAAACGTATAATTTTACCAACGTTAAACGAATATATAAATAAATATACTACGAAAACTGAACGAATTAGACACAAACAATTTTATAAAAAATAAATATGGATATTTTTAAAAATAAACAAACAAACACTAACACAATTTTTTTTGGTTAAAGTCGAATTTATATTCGCCCTACTTTCAACTCGATAAAAGAATGAAAAATTTTGTAATCAGATCAGTTCATCTTCAAGAATGGATTGATGGGTCATTTTGGATGCAATCAAATAAACAAGAAAACTTAACAAAATTGTAATCAGATCAGTGTAATTAGGGAAATAAATCAGTTTCAGAAGAAGAGAAAAGGGAAAGAAGGAAGGTTATATTACCAGCGATGCCGGCTGCATCTCTGCAAATTGTGAAGGTGCCGTCCGGAATAGAAAGAAACATGAACAAAGAAATTTTCTTACAGACAGAAAGTTGATGAAAAAATAGGAAATCAGACCGAAATTTCCAATCAAATGCCGAGTGATTTGTCTCAGGAGAAAAACAAGCTTCCCAGTTCTTTCACAGATATTTTTCAGACAATTCTCTCTCTCTCTCTCTCTCTGGTATTTTCCTTTCGTTTTCGTGGGAGTTTATGGTTCGAAAATTTGCTGAATTTTTGCAAAAACAAAATAATAAAAGATAGTAAAGAAACCGTGTCTGACACATACTTCATGTGCCACAATTCATGCCAATTATGCATATACCAATTATGCCAATAATAAAAGGTAGTAAAGAAACTACATTATATACCACTGAATTTTAGATGATATATAATATATATCACTAAACTTTTGATTGTTTTAATCATAGCATTGAATTTTAGTTTTGGCTTTAATTAGAGCAATGTGTTGTTAAAATCCAAACAATGTGTTGTTAAAATCCAAACAATGTGATGATGTGGACAAAACAATATCTTTTTATTATTATTGATGTCTAAAGTGATATCGTTTAGACACTAAACTTTAGGGGTGTTTTGATTTTTCACTAAATTTTTGAATGAGTCCGTTTTGTGCATTGAACTCTTCGAGCCTCCTCAAGTAATGAATCATTGCTCGACAATAATCATTATTCGCAACAAGATTGATATCAAAACATTCATATTTCGTTTCTCTTTCTTCTCATTAAATTAATTTTTCATAAAATCCACTTAAAATCGACGATTAAAAGTTAGGAATTTAATCGCACCATTAAAAGAAAAGTACCTAATTGCATAAAATAAAGAGTTGAGTGCTACATCACACATAAATATCAAGATTAGATATAAAAAAGTTTATATTTACCCTATTTTAATTTATAATTATCAATATAACTTTCAACTTAAGTTACGGGTTTCTTTTGGCTATTTGCTACAATATTTTATTTGGCACGTGTTCTTTTTTAAGTCGAAAACTCAAAAAGTTAACTTTAAGACAGAATATGCTGAGTTGGCAGGTCCCACCCAGTTGACAATCTTATCTACTCTGCATTATTTCGGTAAATTACGAGTTTAGTATATAAACTATTAGTTTTTATCCGTTTCAGTATATAAACTTTCATTTTTTTTAAATCATATCTAACTTTTAGTTTTTATTTTATTTTAATACCCTTCATTAAAAATTTAATGTGTTTAGTACCTAAACTATTAATTTTAGTACCTAAATTTTCTTTTTTTTCAAAACTTAAGTATGATTTAGGTACTAAACGTGTTTTGGTAC